TATTTATTTTTTTAAAACAACATATACAAAGCATGGGTAACAAAGGATAAAAGAAAAGGAAAAATATATATATATATATATATATATATACATACACATCCATATACATATACATATATACACACATAATCAGAGACATGCATGACCTTTACTCAAATATTTTGAAGACAGAACACAAACTGACAGTTTTTATTGCCTTTCTATTAGTACTATGTTGAATAGTACACAAGTAATTTTCAAATATGGTTCTATAAAACGTACATTTACTTACGTTTTTACAGGCACTAAAACGTACAAATACTTACGTATTTTCTGCCTCTAAACGTACAAATACGTATTTGCAGAATTTTAACGTACAAAACTGACGTTTTGTATAACGTCAGTTTTAACGCATAAATTAATGATGTAATATTTTCCGGTGTTCTCTTTTGAATAGTCAAACAATCCAAAGAAAGCATAAAACAAAAAGAGAAGTCACTTACAAAAGATTGAATAAACACTAAAAAGTCTGACCAAAATGTTTCTGTGTAGGAGCATTGCCAAAACAAATGAAGTCTTCTTCAGAAGAATGACAAAAACAGCAACTCACTTCAATGTCTGACTTATATATCTAACTAGCCTTTGTCTCTTTGTTTGTTTTGAATACGCGCCCTCTAGCGGCGAAAATTACATACTGTCAGCTTTGACTGATCACGGGTCAAGAATAAGGAGAGATGACTAACAAGTCCATGCTGGAGTATTTGCTGCTCAACAGATTCTGAGCTCATTGACAAATATCTGATCTTGTAAGATGTGCTTGCTCCCTTTACACAGAGTGTGTGTGATCGCGAAATCGAAAGTGAAAGTAAACAGCGCAAACGCTCATTAAAAAATATGTAAATACACCGCATCCTGAGCGGCTTCCTGATGCGCCAAAATTATACACAATATTAGAATGTTTAAAGGAGTGGACACGAAAATCACGGGAGCGAAAAGGCACGGAAGGCTACCTGCTGCCATCAGAGCAAGTGTAATTACTGCATTCTTTCTTTTTTAATCTTCATTGAAGTCCTTTATTCGGTACATATCGCATTTCATTTGGATCAGAACTGCAAATCCATTGCTCATCCTATTATTTCTTTCCACATTTTAAAATAAAAAGCAAGTCATCAAAATATGAAACAACACAAAAAGTCTGGGAATTATATAGCGATCAAAAGCACAAGATAATGTGAAAAATCCTTTAGATATTAAAATCATTGCCAAATGGCCATAATGAAATAAATGGTAATGTTATAATAAACTGTTATCACACCAGAGAAGGCAATGCCATGTCAAAATGTTTCAATCTGCTTCTAGGAAAGAAGATAAAGGTTGAAAACACGTGACGACAACCTGACATCAGAAATAATAAAGCTGCACTCACGCCCTGTCGAAATGACCGAAGGTTCAAGATGACAACACTTGGCGAGTTCTCGGTGGGACTGGAATTATGGAACTAAACATAGCGCTAGAGATGAACGCAGCAGAATCTCGTTAAGCACTGCGAAACTTGGCCAATGTTTTTTTGTAGAGGAGCTAAAGCCACGCCTACTTCTCAAAAAGTATGAGAAGAGACAGAAAAACTAACGGGCAATTATTTTCCTCGATAACTGAACGATGGCCAACAACAACAACGGGGAAATACTGGACAATCGCTCCGATGAGAACACAGCCTGCGTGACGGAAACTGACGAGACTCAGTCGGTATGACATAACATTTGTATTCTTTGTAAACATCAGAGGGTTTGCTTGATGGTGTGCCAATAACAGTAACTCAAAGCGCGTCGGCATCGAAAAACTGTAAAAGATGTCGGAACACCTCTAAAAAGAGTTGCTCATTTTGCTCGTGACTTTTAAATATGCTGTTCAAAAGTTTGGGATCAGTAAGATTTGTAATGTTTTTTTTTTTAAAGAAGTCTAATCAAGGCTGCATTTATTTGATCTGAAATACAGAAAAATCTGTAATACTGTGAAATATTGCAATTTAAAATAATGGTTTTCTATTTTAATATAGCCTACTTTAAAATATAATTTATTGCTGTGATCAAATCTGAATTTTCAGCATCATTACTCCAGTCTTCAGTGTCACATGATCCTTCAGAAATCATGCTAATATGCTGATTTAATATCAATATTGGCAAGAGTTTTGCGGCTTCATATTTTTTTGTAACCTGTGATAATTCTTTCAGGATTCTTTGACGAATAAAACGTTAAAAAGAACAGCATCTATTCAAAATAGAAATCTTTTGTAATATTATACACTACCGTTCAAAAGTTTGAGGTCAGTCATTTTTTTTCTTTCCTTTTTTGAAAGAAATTAATGCTTTAATTCAAGAAGGATGTGTTAAATTGATCAAAAGTCATAATAATCTATTCTACATATAATATATTCTAATATATTGTTAGAAAATATTTCTATTTTAAATAAACACTGTTCTTTTTTACTTTATTCATCAAATAATCTAAAAAAAGTATCACAGGTTCCAAAAAATATTAAGCCGCAAAACTGTTTACAACATTGATAATAAATCAGCATATTAGAATGATTTCTGAAGGATCATGTGGCAATGAAGATTGGATTAATGGCTGAGGAAAATTCAGCTTTGCATCACAGAAATAAATTATATTTTAAAGTATATTAAAATAGAAAACCTGTATTTTAAATGGTAATAATATTTCACAGTATTACTGTATTTTATGTATTTTTGGTCAAATAAATGCAGCCATAATGATCAGAAGAGACTTCTTTAAAACAAATTAAAAATCTTACTGATCCCAGGGTCAGTCATTTTTTTTCTTTCTTTTTTTGAAAGAAATTAATGCTTTAATTCAAGAAGGATGTGTTAAATTGATCAAAAGTCATAATAATCTATTCTACATATAATATATTCTAATATATTGTTAGAAAAGATTTCTATTTTAAATAAACACTGTTCTTTTTTACTTTATTCATCAAATAATAATAAAAAAAAGTATCACTGATCAAAAGTCATAATAATCTATTCTACATATAATATATTCTAATATATTGTTAGAAAAGATTTCTATTTTAAATAAACACTGTTCTTTTTTACTTTATTCATCAAATAATACTAAAAAAAAGTATCACAGGTTCCAAAAAATATTAAGCCGCAAAACTGTTTACAACATTGATAATAAATCAGCATATTAGAATGATTTCTGAAGGATCATGTGGCAATGAAGATTGGATTAATGGCTGAGGAAAATTCAGCTTTGCATCACAGAAATAAATTATATTTTAAAGTATATTAAAATAGAAAACCTGTATTTTAAATGGTAATAATATTTCACAGTATTACTGTATTTTATGTATTTTTGGTCAAATAAATGCAGCCATAATGATCAGAAGAGACTTCTTTAAAACAAATTAAAAATCTTACTGATCCCAAACTTTTGAACAGCAGTGTACATATTTATATTTTTCATTTCAAGAGACGTGCTTTATTAAAATTCAACATTTTCCGTGTTGAAATAACACTATTCACAAAATCATTCACATGAGGCATACATGTTGATCTTGTGCAGAAAACTCCTGGCATCCTTTTATCCAGGAAACTCTGCTATGCCGTTGGAGGAATGCCTTATCAAATGACTGGAACCGCCAAGGGCTTTTTCATGCAGATCTTTTTACTGGATGTTGTGAAGGTGTGTATATATGAATAAAAGATGTGGTTTTTAGCAGCTGCCAGTAATGAATACCATATATACCATATATCCTCTGTACAAATTCAGTTTCACAGTGGCCAGTTTACACACAATTGTGTAAATGTGCCACATTATATTATGTGCATGATGCTCCATCCTCAACACTTCCTCACTTTGCATGTCATGTTTGCATGCCATGTTCAACACTACTACAACTCTAAACTGTTAGCACAGGAAGTATGTTAAAGGGAATATGAAAGATCTTGAGAAAGTTCATATATTAATATACTTTAACACCATGGTAGAACATTGTGTAACTGCATTTTATACTACAAAAGAAATTATGTTACAAAAATGGTGCACAGTAAGTATGTTAGAAGAGATTTTCTTCTGGTCATATGTTTGTTATAGATGGGAGCTTTCTCTGCATCCATCATTCTCTTCCTTGGTCGAGCTTGGGATGCCATTTCGGATCCTCTGATTGGATATGCCGTGAGCAAGAGTGGCCGGACCAGAATTGGCAAACTTATTCCTTGGTGCGTGTACTGGTTAATGTCAGAATGGGTGTGAAGCACTTCCTCCAATCTCATTGAAATATTTCACAGCTGGACCACAGGTTGCTTACATGTGTATTACAAATGTTGAGCATATAAATGGTAATAGATGGTGTACACTTTCAAAGACATTTTTTAATATGCCGATTGTTCATCATGTGCCACTCTGCTTATCCACACTCTTTACGTAGGATTGTGTTCACAATGCCACTTGGGGTCCTGTCATACGTTATGCTCTGGTATACCCCACAGGACACCATGTCCTCTGCCTTCAGTTTCGGCTGGTACTTCACATGGTGCTGTCTGTTTGACACCTTCATGAGTGTAAGCCCAATATTATCTGCCTATAGTTTTCTGTTGTTTTACACATTCAGTGTTAAGGATGTTCAGTAGTTAAGGACATTTCCTGCATAGGGGGAAGACTAAATGTAAATTAGTTTTGAACTGCAAACAAATATACAGTGACACTATAGTTTCCACCTCTTTCCTGTGAAGTACTCATGGTGAGTCAATTTAGTACTCACCACAGCAGTTTTCAAACAGCTGTGTTTGCTTATATAATGTGTTATATGATTCATGACTCCAAAACATTTAATTCTCTCTCTGTCTCATTCAGTGCTACCATGTGCCATATTCTTCCCTAAACATATTTCTGGGGGGAAATGAGAAGGAATAGTCTTAAACGGCAATCGTTGTGGTCAAAGCACCAATAGTAGATAATTAGATTGTGGCAAGCTGATAGAATTGCAATATATCTTTCTAAATGTTAATGCAAAGTCAACTATCTTAAATCTTCAATTATACTGTATGTTAGGGTTCGATGAAACAGCTTACAGAAACACATGTTAGTTTCAAAATAAGATAACTGACTTCAAAACGAAAATCTGAAAATATTCAGCCATTGGCAATGGGATTTCTTGTAAAAGGATTTCATGCCCTGTGACTCTCTAGTGTACAACATTAGCATTATAGCATTCATTCTGTCATTCACAGTCACAAATAAATGACTGATCTAATTGCTAATCTAATAGCCCCATAGCATCAGAAATTCATGAGATTTGGCATGTTACATCCAAATATACTGGTGTCCATATACATTCACAAGAAATAAGCCAATTAGATATTATGGGATATTATTATATATATATATATATATCTGCTTAACGATTAAATGAATTATAAATCTGTTAATGAACTTGATTGAACTTATTGCCAGGAGCACCTTAAGATAGAGTAGGCTATAGAAATTTTATGTGAAGCAGACAAGCATACTAAGAGGAGGGGGGCAGAAAACTTTGAAACTTTCTTCATTGCTTAGAGCCCTGACAATCATTACTGTTACAGTCAGATCCTCTACAATCTTTTTCTATCAAGCACCGATCTAAGAACAGGTCAAAATCTCAAAATATTCTAAATTCAAATGATCATTTGTGTATAAGTAACACCATTCATGTGGGCCATTCATAACTGAATTGATGGATACCTTTCATAGTCCTCCTGAATTTGAATTTAATTTGAATTGAGATTGCAAACGGTAGAATCACTATTCAAATTTTCATAAAGAAGTTGAATTAAAATGAATTGGAATTCTACGGAATTCCTAAGAGGCCATGGATTATTATTTTTCTTGTTTTCTCGTAATCATATAAAAAGTTGTTTTCTTGTGATCACGACTTTATTATCTCCTGATCTCAACATAACGAAAGTTGTTTTCTCATTATCATGACTTTATTTTCTCGTGATCTTTAGATAACGAAAGTTGTTTTCTTGTTATCACGACTTAATTTTTTTCTGATCTCGACATAACAAAAGTTGTTCTCTAAGTTACACAACAGCGCCAACAGGTGGCAGTAGGAACCTGAATATAGGCTAACTGATGGGGTGTTATACTGTATATCCACCTTGTATGCGTTTGGGACAGAATAAGGACCTTCTTCGTGATCGCTATTAATTGTGCAGTATTGTTCATTACTAACATTTAATTAATGATTATTTTGTGTAGGCTATCTGTTATTGTTAAGTTAGTTTAGTATTTTCTACATTTCTTTGTAGGAAACCACACACACACACACACACACACACACTCTCTCTCTCTCACACACACACACACACACACACACACATAAACACTCTTTTCAAACAGCATCCCAAGCTTGTAACGCACATGATATCAGTCAGCATATCCTACATGACTAATAAAAATCACAAACAAATTATATATAATTTTATTTCAAATAAAAGGAAAATAAAGTTGAATCCAAACAGCTCTAAAATATATTAGAACAGTTCTCTGCATCCTTCTGAAGGCAGCCTGTGATTGCGGTGTTGCTTTGACCATTTAACAAAATGTTTAGCATACTGTCTCTGGAAAAAAATGAACAGTGATTGATTAGCTTATATTTATTTATTGTAGACCTTAAAATATCCACGTGAAATATCCACAGCATACAGTATAAGAGAGCATGGTTTATCTGTCGATCAGATGCGTGTCAAAGTTGCATTCATTACTATAGCAGCAGTTAAACGCATTGTGTTTTAAATTTCAAACAATCATTGTAAAAAAAACTACTTTTGTTATGTTGTGAGACAAATAGTCTTTGGTTGAGATCATGAGAAAATTAAGTCGTGATCACAAGAAAACAAGAAAGAAAAATAATCATAATCCATAGCCTCTTAGGAAAGCAAATAAAAAAGAAAAACTATGAATGTTGGTTCGTCATAGTCTTCGAAAGTTTTGAAAAAAAAGTTTAAAAAGTTTTGACATTTGAAGGTTTATATTCCTTACAGACAGAGAGAACAACAGCTAGCTAGATAGATCATACTTCCTTTTTTATTATTATTATTTGTAAGCAGGATACATTGGAAATAGAGAGCAGAAACTTATATAGTGACGTGACGTGGCCAAGTATGGTGACCCATACTCTGAATTAGTGCTCTGCATTTATCCCATCCAAAGTGCGCACACACACAGAAGTGAACACACACACACACACACCGTGAACACACAGGGCAGCCATTTTTTGCTGTGGCACCCGGAGAGCAGTTGGGGGTTCGGTGCCTTGCTCAAGGGCACCTCAGTCGTGGTATTGAAGGTGGGAGAAAGCACTGTACATTCACTCCCCCCACCTACAATCCCTGCCGGTACGAGACTCGAACCCGCAACCTTTGAGTTACGAGTCCGACTCTCTAACCATTAGGCCATGACTTCCCCCTATATAGGCTATAACCTTAACTGAAATCTATTTCCTGTATAAAAAATAACTTTGTTCTCTCTCACGATACAGGAATGGGCATGGAAGTGTTCACTACACTGGTGGGAGCTGCCATTCAGGGTCAGATAGTGGGGGTGCACCATGCCAAGAGGACACACGTCTGCAGTTTACAGAATGGCACGCAAGGGCCTTCTGGGAACCACACAGACTCACTGGATGACATATCTGACACTCTACAAAATACAGTGAGGCACAGAGAACATCCTATTCCCATTGTGTCAAGCACATATGGATAGTGGAATTTGTTATTAGTTATTGCTTGTGAAATGGCCACACATATTGACTGTGAACTATCAAGGCAACTGTTTTTCCTAAATTCATTATTTAGTCATGTGTTGAGGATAAGATACTTCCTTGTTTTGAGCATATGTAGGCCGTTTCTCTGGAACTGTTGTACCAGAGAATGTAGTGCCTCCAGATTTAAATATCATAAAGATCATACTTTAAATATGACATTAGAATACTGTGTCTTAACTCAGTAACTAAGTATATTCTGTTATATTTCCAGAAACAGGAAGTAGACTCTTTAGACTAGGTATTTTAAGATCAACGTTGTTCTTCCCAGTTTTCTCATTTCATAAGTTCTGATGTTGCACAGTGTCTGGATATCCACTACAAAAGGTTCAAAAGTTTGGTGTGTCATGGTTTAGCCAATGAAGATGACGAAGGTAATTCAAAATAATAGTTAAGTTGATTAAACTTAAAAGTAAATAGTAAATCAGAATACCTCAGAGAGCAAACGCAATGTAACAGCGTGTATTACACAAACATCACCAGAAAAAGAACTGATAGAAACTGAAGGCTTAAGTGGAGTGGAGCTGATGAAGGTGAATGATGGCAGGTGTGGATGATAGAGCAGTGTGGGCAGATGGGAGCCAGGAGGGATCATGGGAAATGTAGTGTAGAGGTGACAAACTAGATCATGACTGAATCCAATAGAAATACAAACAATAAACATAACCAAAGACTCAGACTATGACATGGGGTCAGAAAGATTTTTTTAATGTTTTTGAAAGAAGTCTCTTATCCTCGCTAAGGTTGTATTTATTTTATCAAAAATACAGTAGAAACAGTAATATTGTTACATATTATTACAATTTTCCATTTTTATATATTTTAAAATGTAATTTATTCGTGTGATGGCAAAGCTAAATTTTCAGCATCATTACTCCAGTCTTCAGTGTCACATGATCCTTCAGAAATCATTCTAATATGCTCAAGAAATAATATTATTTGTTGCTCTAGAAACATTTCTTCTTATGATCAGTGTTGGAAACAGTTGTGATGTTTCATATTTTTGTGGAAACAGTAATATATTGTTTCAGGGTTCTTTATTTGAAATACAATACTCTTGTAACATTTAAAATGTCTCTGCTCTCACTTTTGATAGATTGAATGCATCCTTGCTGAATAAAAAATATTAACTTAAAAAAAAAACTTTCTGACCCCAAACTTTTTAACAGTAGTGCCATTTGTCTTTTCATTTCTACAGAGAAGAGCCTATTTGACTGGAGCATTAGTATTGGGAATGCTGTACTTTCTGTGCTGCCTCATGCTTTTTCTTGGAGTGAAGGAGCAGTTGGGTAGGTCCAAATGAGTTAACATGAGTTAAAATATCAGATAAGTTGTGTTAACCATATATTCTTGCAGCCTTCACTAGGAGTACCACATCAATTTTGAAACACATACACTGTAAAACCGAACAGTGAAATTAATTAAATGAAATTAGTTTATTTCACTCAAACAATAAGGAAAGTTAATTGGACTTTATTGAAAAAAGTTCTGTGAACTCAACATTTCTTGTAGTAACCTGAGCTTAAAATGATTGCGTTTTCTAGTTTCCCGCATGCTTTGCATCAGACAATATAAGGAAAATAATTGTTGAAATTAAGTGTTATTTTGTGTGTTTTTGCACAAGTTTAGCATGGGGAGACATAAGTTAGTATATAATGTTGTATTATGTTAGGATTTACAGAGGCTTCTGTTGTGTTGGTTTTGTAGTGTTACTGTTGTAGTGAAGAGTAGAGCCTGTGGTTAGGTTGAGGATGGACAGCAAAGCTTTAAGACTATTTATACTGTATGTTATTTTACTATTTACATGCAAGTGTATAGTGGGAGTCTTTTTGATAGCTATATTAGCACATGCTAGTGTGCTGTTGCAGTGACTAGACTGATATAATGACTTGCATGTGTCTACATCTCATTTTAGCCCCACTGAGTAAACTGGACCGAATAAGTGTCCCCTATCTAACTGGAATGAAGATGGTGGTGAGACACACTCCATATGTGTGGCTTGTATTTGGCTTCCTTTTTGCTTCACTTGCCTTCCAGGTCAGAAGTTTTTCTGTTTAAATTATGAATGAATTTGGAAGTGCTTGTGGTTGATATCAAAATACCAAAAGTGCCCTGTCTGTTACGTAATATGGTTTTGATAGCCATAGTTATAGAGACAACAAATGGATTTTATTAAGTATGACAGAAGTCATGATAAGAATATTTGTTTCAGATGGCTCAAGGAAATTTTGCCCTCTTCTGCACTCACGCAGCAAATATGGGAGCATATTTCCAGCATCTTGTTCTCATACTATTGGTGAGGGATTTATTATTTCTAATTATTATTATATGAAAGTATTATTATTATTATTTTATTATATGAAATACTACAATGAACTAGTTTACAAAATCTGACATGTAAAGAAAAAAAGTTGATTCATTTGTTCATATTAAATATTTTTACTTGACCTATTAATTAAGATGTTACAACATGAAGCTAATTAAATCATGCAAAATAAATTATAAAATGTACATTATATTAAATCACAGTATTAAAATGTTTTTGAATCGTCTTAGATTTATCTTACAAATTACTTCTAAAATTATACAGGTTTAACGATTAATTTTTAATTATGTAGCATGGTATGTTTTTCATGGTAGTTTAATTATTTCTGCTCTTGTACAGACATCAGCTACAATATCCATCCCAATGTGGCAGACACTACTGGTCAAAAAAGGCAAGAAGACCACCATATTCATCGGCCTATCAGTGAGCACCACTCTTTGTTATTGGTTGTTTAATGGTTGCACAAAAATGGAATTGGAGTGCTGTAACAAATATATCTGTAGGGGATTTACAGTTAAACTCAAGGACCATGTATGATGAATGAAGACCAGGAGTCAGAGATTAAATCAATTGAAGAAAAATTTACTGAAGAAAAGAGTTTGCAGTTTCATCAGCAGAAGTCAGCTTCAATACTCGCGAGGAGTTCGTAGGCCGCTCTGCATTCATTCTCAATACAGAAGTACTCTAACAAAAGGTCATTGCCTTCTTGCCTGGGGATTTCAATCATGCAGACCTAAAGAGTGTGTTCCCAAAAATACGTCATTACTTATAGGTAAAAATTATTCTGATTGGTCAAATCGTAGAAAAACAAAACCATTTTTTAAAGAACATTTGAACGATTCTCGATTTTTACGATTTTTAACTAGTCAACTTGAAAATGTAACTACAACATGATTCAAGTAAAGTTTTCTTTATTAGCCCTCTAGTTCTAAATTTCTATTCCAAGTGCACCACACATGTAGTTGTCAACATGATGTAAATGTTAAACAAATCACTTGTTAAATATCTTTGCAAAAAAGATGCATAAACTATAACTACATATTGTACAAACTTGTCTTATACATATTATGTGTTCAGAAATAATACAAGGAAAATGCTTTTTAAAAAATCTCAAAAGTCAAGGTAATTCATATTCAAAATGACTGAAGACATCAGTAGACTATTATTAACTATAAATGTTCTGTAAAAACAATGAACAGACGCTTTCAGCCTGTCACCATGATGCAAAAATGAAATATCATACATAGAGTAGTAGTTGTTTACAGGTTTTTTATTAGATTACGCTGCTTTTCCATTGTTTTTTCTATGTAAACATGGACGCATTTGACTGTTGTGCTTGCATCTCTTGCAGCGTTTCATGCATGAAACGGCATTCTAAAAATGTGGCGCTTTATAAAAAATGTAATTGTGGCAAAACATTAAATTCGAATTAATGAGTCAAATCTGAAAAATCACCCAGCCCTACTTCTTAGGTTATTTAGGTGACAAGCGTTTAGAGTTCACACGCAACGCGCTGCTCCCGAGACATATATCTGCCATCCTTGTGTCAAGATCTGCATACGAGTTCTCCCTCCTGGGTGCTGGCCTTAATCCGGCACAGACTGATACCAACACACATACAGAGAGAAACCCTTATCTACTTCAAGGTCGAGTAGTTAGACTCTTACTCTTATCAGGTACTGATCCCAAAACACAGACAATTAGTGCAGTTTCTCAGAGAGAGAAAAGGAGAGAAGCTCAGACCATATTCAGCTTTATTCTTTAATATACAGTCATAGAAAACAACCTAAATGTTCTGAGTACACGTTGGTCACATAGACAAGAGGCCCTGCTGCCTTCTATGATATAGGCAGAGACCTTTAACCTGAGAGGAGTAAATAGTTAACATATGGAAAAGCTTCTCACGAACAAGAAAAAAACATTCTAATAGCATAGTTCATCTTAGTGACTATTAAGAGTATATGGTAGATCATAACTTTATTCAATCAATTAAAACATAAGAGGTTAAATACTGATTAATAATTAATACTTTTAAATATAATCACTCCAAAAAATATTATACATATATATACACACATACAGAGTTCTGGCATGAAACTCTAGATGGCGCAGTCCGATAGGTCTAACTCAATCTGACCTAATGACATCATTATCACATGGCATAGCTGATTGGTTCTCTCCTGTATCGGTAGCCAATGAGCTCGCCACTCAACATTCAAATATATGACTAGTTCTTGCCGTAGCAGTTGCAGCTTGCTTCAGAAACCCTCCACCTTCCCCAGCTCCACCTGTATAGATCTGCTACGAGGTGATTTATGTATGCTATATGGGGGTTATTTCATGTACGTTATATTTGCAGCAGCAATATTTCTTACATGCTCACAGCAGCATGTTGTGGCTGTATTGGCAGTAGCAAGTCTCGGTACTTGCTCTGCAGCAGCAGCAGCATAGCAGATCTATTCCACCAAGACCAAATACCATGCCAATCCCTCCGAGAGTTGTCATGAAAGAAATATATACAGTATCTCACAGAAGTGAGTACACCCCTCACATTTTTGTAAATATTTTATTATATCTTTTCATGTGACAACACTGAAGAAATGACACTTTTCTACAATGTAAAGTAGTAAGTGTACAGCTTGTATAACAGTGTAAATGTGCTGTCCCCTCAAAATAACTCAACACACAGCCATTAATGTCTAAACCGCTGGCCACAAAAGTGAGTACACCCCTAAGTGAAAATGTCCAAATTGGGCCCAATTAGCCATTTTCTCTCCCCGGTGTCATGTGACTCATTAGTGTTAAGTCAAGTCAAGTCACCTTTATTTATATAGCACTTTTAACAATACAGATTGTGTCAAAGCAACTGAACAGCATTAATTAGGAAAATAGTGTCAATAATGCAAAGTGACAATAGTAACACTAGTAACACTCATTGTGTAAACACTCAACAGTGTTACAAGGTCTCAGGTGTGAATGGGGAACAGGTGTGTTAAATTTGGTGTTATCGCTCTCACTCTCTCATACTGGTCACTGGAAGTTCAACATGGCACCTCGTGGCAAAGAACTCTCTGAGGATCTGAAAAAAAGAATTGTTGCTCTACATAAAGATGGCATAGGCTATAAGAAGATTGCCAAGACCCTGAAACTGAGCTGCAGCACGGTGGCCAAGACCATACAGCGGTTTAACAGGACAGGTTCCACTCAGAACAGGCCTCGCCATGGTCGACCAAAGAAGTTGAGTGCACGTGCTCAGCGTCAGCTGTACACTCACTACTTTACATTGTAGCAAAGTGTCATTTCTTCAGTGTTGTCACATGAAAAGATATAATAAAATATTTACAAAAATGTGAGGGGTGTACTCACTTCTGTGAGATACTGTATATATATATATATATATATATATATATATATATATATGAAATCCACCACGAGTCCAGAGTTCCTCTCCTTCATATATGTGTTATATCTGTTTCCACTTTTTCATCCCTCTTTCTCCTCTTCTCTGCAGGTTTATATCCCAGCTCTAATTATGATATCCCTAATGAAAAGTAATTTACCCATCTTCATTATTATGTCCATGTTAGCTGGTACGAGTCTGGCAGCCCTCTATCTAGTCCCTTGGTAAGGTAACTCTTATAAAATATCTCTTCTTCATTCTTAAAGCCCTCACCTCACCAACACACAACCCACACAATTATCATCATATATGTTATTATCATTATGACCATATTAACTTTGTCAAACTGCTGTATATAACCAGGTTAGTTATTTATTTTAGGTCAATGTTGCCAGATGTAGTGGATGACTTCAAAGTCAAGAACCCATCATGCCAGGATCTAGAACCATTGTTCTACTCCTGCTACGTTTTCTTCAACAAATTTGGAGGAGGCATGTCTGTTGGAATCTCTACTTTGATACTACAGTAAGAGCTTCCTCCAATCAGATTTTAATCCAAAACCTAAAGTTTCCAATTGATTTTACAATGGTTTGTTTAATGTTATCCTTATCTCTTTAGCTTTGTAGGATACAAACCTGGTGCTTGTAAACACAATACAGAGGTCATATATTCGCTGCAGATGCTCTTCGCTCCGATGCCAATCTGCCTGCTGCTCATTGGTTTGGTGATTTTTTGCTTCTATCCCATCAATGAAGAGCAACGGAGGAAAATCCAGGACGCATTACGGAAAGCAGGGTATGTACCTTGAGGTACCCGTTAGCATCTCGCTCAAAAACTATACTCTCATTCCGGCGTAATAATCAAGAAACGTTGCTGCCGTACCATGGGTGCAGCAGGCGCAATGATATTACGGTGTCAAGTTTTCAATAGGAAAAATATAGAAACTCTTTGGACATCTTTGAGAGAGATGCTAACGGTCTGATCAGATTCAATGATCTATGCTAAGCTACAGCTAAAAGTGCTAACGCCAGACCTGGAGATCGGCTGAATGGATTCGAAAACGGTAAAACTCAACTGTTTAACTCTAGGGGTGTTGGTGGAGTGTTCCTTTTAAGTCTTTACATTCATTTTCAGCACTGCTTACTATGTTCAAATATGTCTGCGTAGTATGTCTTCATTTTCTCACACTATGTTACAGTTTTGCATAAGTTGCAATAACTGTATTAACTGTGTCTTCACTGCCTGTTTTACACAGGACAGAGACCAGCATGAAAGGAGAAGAAGAACTGAGCCTATGAAGTAATCACTCACTATGTCACATTTCATTACTTATAAGGATTTCATTACTTTTGTAACATTCACAGGTTCTGAAACCGTTAATAATAAACAAGTTTTGTTTTCATCGTGCAGGGTGAATGTTTCTCAATCCTTTTCTAGAGGGATCCCAAAACCACTTAGGAATTTCACTAATCTTGTTACACCCGAGGTGAATAAAGGAGATATTCAAAACATGCAGTTCTGCAGCCTCAAGGCCAGAATTGATAAACATTAGTGGTCTTAAAGGTGCAGTGTGTAATTTCTGCACCATATCTAGACAGACATGGTGCATATCACTGGTTGCAACAATATTGCTGTGTGTAAAGAGTTTACACTCTTCAGAGTAATTAACCAACGAATGCCTTACTGATTGCTCTCTCTGCATCAGCACTGGTAATGATGATAATGATGTAAAAGTGTATAAATAAACAGCCATGTGTAAATATGTGAATGTTTTTTATTGCCATGCAGAAAACTGCACAGCACCATCTTGTGGCCAATAGTCTTAGGCCTTAAAGGACCAGTTCACCCAAAACATTATTTACTCACCCTTATGTCATTCCAGTCTTGTTTGACTTGCTTTCTTCTACAGAACACAAAAGAAGAAGGTTGATAACCAAACAGTTTTGGTTACCATTGACTTCCACTGTATCCATTTCATGTCAAAGTAAATTTTTCTTCAAAGAAGAAAGAAAGTCATACTGCTTTGGAATGACATGACTGAGTTAATGGTCGCAGAATTTTTATTTCTGGCTGAACTATCAATTTAAGACCAATTAACATGTGTTGACTTGTTGTGTTGTTCATGGAGGAGGCTTGGGAGGTGGATATGTGCTACTCCAGACACCCACATTACAAGACTACAGATGAAGTGAGTGTTGAGAGCATGTTATGTAACAGGTACTTCATAATGAGCTGGAGGCTAGAGGATGCAGGGGAGGTGAACATCTGCGGACTTAAACTAGTAACTGCCTGTGTTTTCCTGTTCTCATGCTGTGTGCTTGAACAGACAATATAAACAGACAATACATCTGCTTCATGGAAGCTAAAATAGTACTAAAGTAAACTAGACTTTAAAAACATTGTTTATTGCTGTCAGAGATAACTATTTGTCATACATATAGATACATATGGGATATGGCTGGGCTGAGTATATAGCAAAGGGGACGGGCTACATTTGTCAACAGCAGGGTTTATGTTAAACAAATGCAATGCAATTGCACCCTCTCCCCTCATTTACATTTTAAGTTTACCCAATAAGAACATCAGAAAAGTGACGTTACCTGAAGCAAAATCACATTTTAATAGTGACACTTATTGCAGTCTTCTTAATTCTGGGATTCTTGAGCAAATTACACCCTTTCTTAGTTTTAAAGTAAAACAGGCGCCAGTCATCTAGGGGTCTGGAAACATCTTGTGGCTGGATCCCCTCTCTTTGACAGCGCTCTCTCCAGTGTGCAGCACTGTCCACCAGCTCCTTCCACTCATGACACACCAGACGACAGACTCGCACCACCTGATGAGCAGGCAGATTCAGTAGGATCTCCTCAACAACCACAGCTAGAGGAACAGCTGAACGCAGACCTGAGCACTGACAGAGAAAGATAGATGCAGTTCTAATCTTGTTGGAAAATCCAGCTCTGGAACATGGTTGCTGGTTTTTAGCTGGATATCAACTATAATCTTCCAAAACCCAGTTTGGCCACTTTAAGCTGGCAACTGGTTTATTGAAGAAAACACATAAATAAAACAAAAAAATAGCTTGGGTTCGGTTATAACATGTTTAATTGATGTTATTAACCCTGAGTCTTGTTACAACTAACTCAGAATTTTGTAGCCTTGAACTAGCTCACCTTACAGCTAATAGCCAACACATTAGCACCAACAACTTGCTTGAAAAATATCTACACAGACACACAATAAACATAATTTAACTTTGATGAGTTTGACTACAAAGCAGGGACTGCCATCACACACAAAAAATGAAGTATAAAAAGTTACTTTCTTACCTCAAAATGAGTTTTTCTCCTCTAAAATCTGCTGACACTGTTTCCTTCCACTCAACTTTCTGTTAGCATGCTTGGATACAGCACTCTGTGAACAGCCAGCTTCTTTGCCAATGAATGTTTGTGGCTTACCCTCCTTGTGAAGGGTGTCAATGACTGTCTTCTGGACAACTGTCAGATCAGCAGTCTTCCCCATGATTGTGTAGCCTAGTGAACCAAACTGAGAGACTATTTTGAAGGCTCAGGAAACCTTTGCAGGTGTTTTGAGTTGATTAGCTGATTGGGATGTCACCATTGAATTTATTTAATACACAAGTTTCACAATTTGAGTTGAATTACTGAAATAAATGAACTTTTCCACGACATTCTAATTTATTGAGATGCACCTGTATATCTAGAGCCCTATATGATTTCTGCGATGCAACACAGAAACCACGGAATCCAGGCATAAAACCACAATTCACTGTATAATGCGGACTGTCACAGAATTTGGCCAATTTTGAATTAAACAATCAGGAAGTAGCGCTGCATAGCTAATCAAATTTAGATTGGGATATGGACTAACGTCAGTAGCCTAATTGTTCTGCGATCTTTCTTCACAATCAGAATAGGTGCATTTCTTTTTAAACGGACATTTGTATTTTTGATTTCAAGTTTGTTGAATAAAACTTTTCTTTCATTGCATTGCTTTTTGTGTCATTATTTTGGTGGTCGAAAGAACAGCAGTGTGTGGATGTCAAATGGACCTGAAGTTTTTGACGTCAGTTTGATGTGCATTTCTGTCCGAAATTGCCCCCTATACCCTTAAATAGGGCACTATTTGAGGGAACAGCCATTTTTAGTGGTGTCCGAAACCATAGTGGACGTTCTCGAGTGCACTCATTCAATCCCACAATGCACTGCAAAAACGAGTGTACAGCTGGTGCACGCTCAACGGCTAGAGAATGCCCATAATGCACCGTGAGAGTCACGCGCCGAATGAATTCCCGCATCTCGCCAGTAGGGATGGGCGATACCACTTATTTTGTTTATGATACGATACCGATATATTTCAAGGCAGTATCGTATATCGATACCGATAGATACTTCTGAACTAAACTTTTAAATTATGAAATTTATTAAATTATTAAATGAGTAAAATGGGTAATGATAACCACTTAACTTTATGTTTAAAACACATTTTAACAGTCAATACGCCTTAATTATAATTTATTAGGTTATATTTTTGTTTACACATGGTTCAAATGTGTTTTTGTTTACACATGATTCAAATCTACAAATACTACAGTTGAACTATGGTCATTTTAGTAAAACCATGGTTCATGTTCATAAGGGACTGCCAGTGACAAGCTGTTGCATCCATAAAGTGCAACCTTTTTGTTCTGACAGTGTATGACTTCTATTAACATTACAGAATAGAACATGATCTATATTATCTTTCA